TTAACCAATTAGGATGATCGACTACAACTTAGCCGGCTAAGCCGATTTTTAAATATTGACTTAGTCTAGTCGATAAATTTGGATCGACTACAAACACTACTTCTAATACAATTTTTTTTTATAAATAGTAATTAGTTCTCGAGCCACGTATACTCTTTTTTAGTAGGATCTACTTGAGCAAAAGTCCTTGCGTTTTTTTTTAAATAGTAATAGTAATCGTAATCGTAATTACAGCGTGGACTAAAAGACCCCCCTAGTATAATACCCCTCACAAGTTTTAAAGGCCTAAAGCATATATTAAATCGATAATTATAATTGAAAGTCCAATGACAGGATTTCTCTTGGCGACACATATATAGTGCAACCCATATTTCCTACGCTAACTATAGCATTTTTCTGACTATAATACCTATATATGTAGATAACTTGTAAAGTACCCTGGGTATTTTAGTCCACGCTGTACGGTAGTACCAAAAAATTTGATTAAAAAAAAATTACCTTATAATGGTAAAAATCTTAGCTTTGTGAGTTCTCCATTCTATGTTATTTATCATCCAAATTTTTTTACTTTGTTTTTTTTGTATCGGATTTTTTACCGAGGTCACAGCGAGAGAATTTGGCGATCCTTTCCAAACCTATACCAGATAGTTGCATGACATCATCGGCAATGGAATTTAATTAACTACTAAATACAAGAAAAATAATTTTTTTAAAAAAATTTATATTGTATATAAAGAATATATAAATGCTCTATGCCTATTCATTTTAACTACAGTTTCTAAGTAATTAGTTATTTTGACTTGATGTATTCTGTCAGAATTGTCCAAGTCCGAAAATTTTTACAATACACCGCCTTTTTGCTGATGATAATTAATTTTTTTCTTTAATAAATGATCGTGGGGGATATGGTAAGATTAGTTTAATATCTAGTGTAAGTGATGCAGTTTTCTGTATACGATATTTAAATTAAAATTTAGGGGCGAGACGGGAAGTTCTGCCAGTGCTAAACGAAAAGATTCTTTGAGACAAACACGCAGACCCGATTTTAGTATAGTAGTTAATGTAAATGGTCTAAAAGTTGAAATTGCTTATCTTGAGACTGGCCGACCAGACTCTAAATCAAGCAAGCGTGAGATCATAAGAAGCTTGCGCGAATCTCAAGAGATATTACAAAGGAAAGAAAAGGTTTAAAAATTCGTCAATAAGGAATCCCAGAAGTTCCTATACACGGTCCCTATTTTTTATGTGACCTTATATATAGAAATCACGATAAATTATTTATGCAAATATGTAAATAATCATAATGAGCTCTATATAATATATAGAGATCATTATGATTATTTACATATTTACGTAAATAACTATCACGATTTCTATTGATCTCTATGTATAAGGTCGCATAAAAAATGGCAGGAACTTCTGGGTCACCCTGTATATTATTATTTAGATATTTTTTTTTCATTATCTTCGACTTACAGTAATTGCATTTATAGGAAATATGTTAAAATTACATTGTATGCGAAAAGAATCGGGAATTTACAAGCACTACTTGCTTGAACAATCACAAATTCCCTCATCTTTCCCAACATATGGTGGCGGTTATAATTTAATTCACTCACTACTCACTTTTAGGGTACATTATTATACATTATCTCTGGTCATTATATTAAGATCGCAGGGTATAGCTACTACGCATTTTCTTATGTAATCTCTGAATAATACTTATGGTTTGTGTTTTATAGTCCGTAATAGTGTGTACTATACATGAAATTTTGCAAAAAATAAATTTTGGAGGGACTAGTGACGACGATTCAGATGAAACTACAGATTCGCCAAGAACCCGCAAGGTACAATCGCAAACTTGAGTTTATTGCTTGAACTATTGCAGGTAAGACAATATTCTATTCCATTTCTATTCTATTCGCCATGTAATCCATAATTCCATCGCAAATAGGGCATGGCGAGCTCCGCGTGTTTTAGTTGCACTAGGAGATTTCGAAGGAGGAGAATTATGTTTTCCTCAACTTCAAGTAGTTGTACATCTTCTATCAGGACAAGTAGTGGCATTTGCATCCCGCATATTGCTTCATGGCAATTTTACAGTTATAAAAGGCATCCGGCATAGTATTGTGTACTTTGTGCATAATTCATTTTTTCATAATTTATGGGATTTTGATCCTGCATATATTGAGGCTGGAATTGAGAAAGGTAATGGGCCAATAGTTTCTGATAGAGCTCTGACAAACCCGAACCGAATCAAACATGTTTGAAAGCTCGGGCCAAATTATGGTAACCATCTTCTACCTGACAACCATTTACTGGCAATCACTTTCAATTCCCGACAATTACCATTTCCCCGATAACTATCCTTTCCGGTTACAGTAATTTGAAAAGCGCTGTAAAGAAAATATCGTTTAAATTAAAAAATAGGTTTACAGTTGTTTTCATAAATTCTGGGACTCCCCGAATGATTTTTCGGCCGATTCGATTAAGCTATTGATTTCGGCGTATATTTTATATGTAAGATAATTTTATCATTATAAGGTAGTGGTGTGACGCTGTCGTACTAAAATCAGGAACGTAGACAACGATATTTATAATTATATATGCTAATTCTTACATTATATAATAAAGCTTTTGATTAGATTTAGCATTACGACCTAATCTTGAAATTTATTCATTTATTTTGTTACAATATAGAGAGTTTACATTGTGATCTCATCAACTGATTTAGTTTGTAAATCGTGTAGAGCAATAAAAATATGTAGATCGTTAAATCGATACGTATGAATAACCTAAATGAAAGGGTTAACTAGTGTTACAAATTGTTAGCTAAACAACTAACTAGTTGCCAACTTTCCAACTAGTTGGTTTAAAAAAATTTTAAACAATTAATCAATTAATAATTTAACTAGTATAATTCTATAATATTTTATTAGTCAAGCTAATCTGTATTGATTTTTTTGATTTAATTAGCTAATTATATAATGATACTATATGATATAAAACATCAATTTGTTGCGTCTATAGTTGACAACTAAACAACTCGGAACACTAGGGTTAACAGTATTGTAACTAAAAGTTGCATATATAGGTGGTCTGCAATCCCGTTCCAACTAATAATTAAATATTATTAATGTAATACCAATTACTGATAATAAAATATTCTGATTAAATATAAAATGGAAACTTTATACTTTTTTAATTAAGTAAGAAAATGATTCTATGTTACAATACAAAATTCAGAATTTGTTAACACATGCATCAGGTGTATAGTCCGTTTTCGGATAACCCTATAAAAAAGATTTGTACGTATAATATTCGTGTTGAATAAACAGAATGGCATTTTTTTTAGACATTTTTCACAAATATTGTACAAATATATATCGATATATAATATATAGGGCAAGTTAATTTATTATGTCATGAGAATCAATCAAGTCGATTATCGATAATCATTTCAATTCTGGTGGTTTTTGCATCATACGACAACTTGGGCGACTTCGAAGTGTCCTGATTAACTAAGTCTTGAGTTCGAAGTTTCTTCTCTCTAATGCTCTGAATTATCTCTTCACTAACCTTTTCCTTATACTTTGAATCCAGGAATTCATCAATCTCCTTATCTTCTAATGATGCGGGTTCAGCTTTTGGCTGGCTTGCGTTGACGCTGACGCTATAATCCTTATCAGGGTGATCCTCGATAGGTGGTGGAGTAGATAATTGAGATATGATGAATTGGTTGGAGAATCATTATTAGCCTTGCTAGCTCTGCTAATACTTTGGTCCCGCTTTTCGATTTTATCAACGGCTCGTTCTAGCTTAACGATTTTGGCTTTAAACCCAACATTTTCTTCTATAATCTGCTTTAATTTTGTATTCTCATGTTTAAGCTCTATATTTTCAGCTTCGAGCTCAGTGATGCGTTGTTTTAATAAATCTAATTCGGATTGCATTTTAATAACTTTTTGTATAAACCGGATTTATTTAGAATAAATAAAACACGTAACAAAAACCATCACAATTCATGACGATCGGAATAATTATTTTTTCATGACCGAAAATCATTAATTATCTACACATGCAAAAGTAAACATGATTATATATGCGAAAAAATTGAGCCATCAGGGCCAGCTTTATTGATATAGAAAAATAAAATTAAAATACAAGATAAAAATATACATGCAAAGGTAAACTGATTATGTATGCGAAATCAGCCACGAGGGCCAGCTTTATTAATAGTTGATAAAGTACAGAATAAAATACAAAGCAACACATTATGAAAAATTAGTGCATCTATGTAGACTTTTTAAAACACTTCGTTATTCACAAAACTATACACTTATCGATTAGTCGAATATATTAGATTATATGCATTTACTAGAAAATTGTTAAAATATACATATTCAAAGGTAAAATAAAAAATGAGCATTCGTTAGTTGGTTATCCAGGTCACACCACGTGGAGGTCAATGCTCGAGTGG